ATGTTCTTACTGTATCTTATCTTATGCATAAAACACTAAAAATGCCTGCACACTGGTGCATTTACAAATTGATGTTTTATATTCATTTCATGAAATATTTATTTTACATTTCAGAATATAAATCAATGTTAATTCAGCTCTTAATTTGTCATATATATATATATACATGTATTTTTATATAAATTTTATATCAAACAAAAAGTACCGATAAGAATACTGTTAAAGTACCAAATCGATAAGCAGTATCGATAAGAGTAGTAATACCGTTAAAACCTTAACGATACCCATCCCTACCTGGACATGCACAAAAATACACTGCCACACACAGATAGACGCACACACACAAAGGCCTACATAAAGTCCAGGCTCTCCTTTGCTCTGTTGGTTTTCTCTGTACTAACACATCCATCACACACGGGCTAAATCCTCCACTCACATTCTCCTGCGTTTGTTTCTCATGCGACCTGTTACAATCTTATTGAAATGCTTCTATGTGCATTTGTGCATTGAATCTCTATAAAAATCACCCCTTTTTATAGTGTATATAAATTATATATATTGTGTATAAAAACACATAATATTTTTCCCAAATGAACACCATTCTTGTCTATTTTCTTGTGATTACACAGCAAGAAAAGCCATTAAACTGGTATTTCTATTACAAGTAGGAAAATATTCTTTGTTTTACATATGAATTACAGCAGGTGAAGTTATTTTGTAAATATGCAATATAGAATAGGCTATAAACCTAGAAAACCTATTACATCACTACGTTTGAGTCAGCAAGGAATACAGACTGCTCACTGCAAACACAGTGGTTATGCCACACACAGCTGGATCCAGCTTCAAGAATATCTTAAGAACAAAAAAATGGATTAATCTTTGTTCTGAAATTATTCATTAACACATTTTAAAATGTAAAATATACACAAAATACTAATACATACATATACACAAATTAATTCATTATTTATTTAAAATTTGTCTTATTTTAACTTTAATTGATTTTAATTGATTTAATCCATTTAACCGATTCATGTATGTTGATCTTTCTTTCCCCAAGCAGTTTTAAATCATTGAATTTAAGCTGATTACTTCTTATTTTCTTTATTACGCTTATGTAGAGTACTCTGAATTACCATTGTGAATGGAATGTAAATGTAGGCGATATAAATAAACTTGCCTACCCTATCCTAATACAGAAACAACACTGAATCAACACACTTAAGTACTCTTGAGAAACTTTATGTAGAGGAGATAGATTAAAAAGCTGACAGCTCAGAGAGGAGAGAGAGTGCATCGCTGTGGCTTGTACAGTGAGGAAAAACCCATCTGGTGATGCAAATTTCAGAGGGAATTGTGTTGTTTCTTGTGTGCCAAGGTTAATGAACACACATGCAGAAAAATAAATTCAGGCGCATTTCTGCATAACAGCCTTGACACCCACTGGCAGTTTCCACAAACACACACACATACATAGCTAGTTGCCTCTGCGCTACCAGCTCAACATGACAGAATGCAT